GGAACTGGAGGAGCTTTAAACTCCCTTCAACGCAAACCAGGCTGGGGTTCTGTGGTTCTATGGCTGGCAGCATCACAGCAGGATCCCATCATCGCTGTGGCTCAACCTGGGGTGTTAGGCAGGGCTGTCACAACAGGGGACCTCTGGGCATGTGTCAGGCTCCTGCCTTCCACCCCTGGGGGCTTTTGCCGGGTGCCATCCCGGAACCACCTCCAGCACGCAGCTGAAGGAAATCCTGGGAGCTCAGTGGCCATGGAGAGGTGCCAGGTCCCGGCTGTCAGCAAAGATGTGGATGGGAGCAGGAGCCTTCCCAGACCAGCAGTCAGAAAAGAACTCATTCCCATGCAAATCCAGGCTGGAAATGAGACCTCACTCACGTGCTGGCAGCTGTGATACCCATGTGAGGCAGGGAGAGAGGCACATCCCGGGTGCAAGGAGGGATCAGGCCCTCTGTGGTTTCTCTCTTTTGTCCTTTTCCCTCCCATTACACTGAAATACTGCACATTCAAAAGAGCTTTCCAAAGTCAGGGTGGGTTTAGGAAGAGTTGCTTTAAATATCTGCTCAAAACTTAGCCCAAAGCAGTCCTTTTGTAATGGAGAAGTCACTAATTCAACCTCTCATTTACCATACCCAGAGAGCATCAAATGCATGAAATGCCTAAAAGGGGTTTCCAATACCATTCCATGCTAAAAAAGGAAATGACCAGGAGTTCCTCTAATGGAAGCTCTTTGCTGCAATAACATGTCGTGCAGCACTATAGTGCTGTGGTTTGGGTATGTAAGAAAGCAGAGATGGAAAAAAGGCAACAACATTGTACCAGCATCAGCTTTTGAACGGTCTCTCACTGTGCCCTGATCTAATCAACATGGAAAAAACAACACAAAAAGACATTTAAAAATGACTAATCTCATTTTCAAGCTGACTCCAGGTTTAGGATACATTAATTAAACTAAATCAAACCACTTCCATACTGTGCCAAGGGATGGAATTGCTTTACAATCCTCTGTCGTGCAAAGTGCTGTTGCAGAGAAACTGAGCAGTGCGCCTGAGCCCGAGCAGTTCTCAGGCTGTGCTGAGAACCTGGAGAACAGGGAAGGCTGAGAAATGGAATAGGACTTGGAAAAAACAACTTTATATTGAGCACTCTGGTCCCACCAGAGCTGCAGGTAAGTGCTAGAACAGGTGCACATGGCTTAGCTAATTCAATTAGCTACTCAGATGATCAAATCCTAACCAACAGCAAATGCTCGATCAGACCTGCACAAAGATGTTTCTAACAAATAGTCAAGCTATATCTAGTTCAGTTGCCTGTATGCATATGTATCTCTAACACCATAAATATTAATACTTAACATTTAAAACCTATTTCAGAGCTAGCATTTATTAAAAGTGCATTATTAGTGACTATGTTGTGGGACACTGTCATGCAGACAATAAGATATGGAAAGGTTTTTTCCTCAGCTATTCACAAACCCACACAGTTTTCTTTCTCAGCTGACTGCCCAGGGAGAGCTGCACACAGATGTTTCTCACCAGGGGTAATTTGCCTAAACATGCTATTTTTATTCTGTTCTCAGTTTTCTCTTCCTTGTTGAATGCTCATATTGGCAGCAGGACAAATGAGAGAAGAACTCGACACTTGTCAAGAACATCACTTCATATTAGCTGATTCCAAAAGATGACACCAGATAAGTAAAAGCCATTCCTTTTCCTTTATAAATAATGCCAGTAACAGGGGAGAGCAGGAGCGTGTTGGTGCTGAAAGCACTTAGCAATCAGCACTATCATCTCTTGGTTCAGATTCAGCTGAAACCCAGAAGCTATCAGAGACCACACCACCCTCCAGAGCAGCAAAGACCTCAACAATTAGCACAACCCCCCCTCAATAAGGACATGATACCCACTTACATCAACCACAAAGATCTTCTGGGAGTCATCCAGAAACTGGACTTTGAGGTGCAGCATCCTGGAGGCCGTGGCTGTGCGCGCAGCGGTCGCAGCGGTGTGAGCAGCGTGCCGGGCAGGCAGCCCCGACTCCTCTTGCACATGTAATGTCCCTCGCAGCTGCATGGGGAAGGCGGCAGCCACGGATGTGGAGCAGAGGCTGGAGCGAGGGAACTGACTGCTTCAAACCAGAAACCCAGATACCTCCCCTGCTTGAATATCACCACTGCGTTAAAGGGTGCTTTCTGGGCGTGTTAACAGGGGAAACGCTGTGCAGCGGCTCTGTGAGAGTGGCACTAGTGGGGGTTAGATAAACACTGAGCTTCTGCAGGTGGTGGTGAGCAGAGCAAGTCCACGGGGCCAGGGAGAAGAGGTGAGTGTCTCCTGCCAGAGCCGGCGAGCAGCACCTCGTCCCTCGTCTGGGTAAGGTGCACTGGAAGCCCATCTGTCTGCTCACTCCATGAGGTGGGCAGGTAAGGTCCTCCTGGCCGAGCAGATGTGGACAGAACATGCAGATGGGCTGATGGACTTCACTGGGACATGTCTCCAGCTGAATGTGGAACCAGGTGGGAGTCCTTCCTGTGGAGGCAGAGGAGGAACTGGTGCTAACTCCCAGCTCGCACCCTGGTTTGGCAGCTCAGTGAAGCCCTACAAGCCTTTGATCAACCTGGTTCCTGTTCCACACCTGAAAAGCTCATGTCCCCACACCCTCATCTAGATGCCCACCCTCACAGACCCCCCGGTAATGCCAAAAGGCAGCACGGGACTGTCATAGGGGATTGTTATTGCTGCTGCTGCTGGAAAAAGTCACAATCACATAGGACCTGTGGGAGCCAAAGCAACAGAAACACATCCTGGCAAACAGAAAATGCCCCAAAATAAGTGCTGTGGAGATCGTGCTTCTTGCTCGCTCCCCAGTTCCCACCAAGGCATCCGCTGTAAGTCAGCCCAGGCCGTTTGCTGTGGTCCCTCTTACACTTCCCAAATACTCCTAGGGATGTAAGGACAGAGCTTGTCAGGACACACAGAGCTTGTGGCCTGGGGTGCAGGAAGGGAAAATGCAGCACTTTTCAGCTACAGAAAAATTGAGTCTTCTGATAACTGGGACAAAAAAGCAGCCCAAAAGTTAAAGCCAATCTACTTTTCTGTGTGGCTCAAAGCAAAGAGTGGCTGGGAGGGGGCCAAATACTCCTAGGGATGTAAGGACAGAGCTTGTCAGGACACACAGAGCTTGTGGCCTGGGGTGCAGGAAGGGAAAATGCAGCACTTTTCAGCTACAGAAAAATTGAGTCTTCTGATAACTGGGACAAAAAAGCAGCCCAAAAGTTAAAGCCAATCTACTTTTCTGTGTGGCTCAAAGCAAAGAGTGGCTGGGAGGGGGTGGCTGTACCCAGACGCAGGAACAGATTCCCAGTGCTGCCCTTGGCCTTGAGGTCTGAGCTCTGTGTGTGGCAGGACAAGGACAGTGTCACATACAAACATCTGGGGATGCTGAGTGCACTTTCCCTCTGTGGTTCCAAATGCTCATGATGTCAAATGTTGATGGCATCGAGAAGATCAGCTCTCTGTGAGCAGCTCACATCGCAGACGTGGCTCTGCTGCAGCAGGAGCACTGCAATGGCAGGAAGGATGCACAGGGATGTGACAGAGGAGCCCCCAGACCCCAGAAGAAGCCTTTCCTGGCATGTTGAGGCACCACCCCTGGGCTCATGGATGCTACTGGAAGCTGAGCACCAGCCAGCTGGGGTGTGGGTGAAAGAAAAGAATTTATTTCACTGCTGTGACATGAAGGCAGGGTCCTGGTCTGGATTTATCACAGGGACTCTGGCCACCTTCTGGAGCCATTCTACAGACAGTGTGGAGCCAGCAGAAGCAAACGGGGTAAATGAAGACTCTTATGGGAGTAGAATAATAGAATGGTTTGGTTTGAAAGGGACCTTAAAGCTCAGTGGGGACAAGGGGAATGGCTTGAACCTGCCAGAGGGGAGATTGAGATGAGCTCTGAGGCAGAAGCTCTTCCCTGTGAGGGTGCTGAGGCGCTGGCACAGGGTGCCCAGAGAAGCTGTGGCTGCCCCATCCCTGGCAGTGTTCAAGGCCAGGTTGGACACAGGGGCTTGGAGCAACCTGCTCTAGTGGAAGGTGTCCCTGCCCGTGGCAGGGGTTGGAGCTGGAGGAGCTTTAAGGTCCCTTCCAACCCAAACCAGGCTGTTGTTCTACGATGATGCATCAGCTCTTTGCTTCCAAGCTCCCTCTCGTGGTGGTTGTGCCCAACGACAAATTGCGTTTGCCGGGATGAGCAGTTTCGCACAGCAGCACCACAGCCCACCCTGCGCCCATGTGTATTCACTGTTCTTCCTTTTTCAGATTTGATATGCTACGTAACAACCATTTCCAGGCACCGGGGAAGGCAGTTGGCTACAAGAAAATGCAAATTACAGCAGAAGCTATACAAGAAACTCAGGAATAGCCTGGCTCTGGTGTTCTCCAGAACACATCAGCTCATTTTTAATACCCCAGTCGCACCCTGTTGTTGGCACAGCTCTATCAAAAGCACTCTCTGATGTTTAATTCAAACAGATCACTTTGAAGACACGAGAAAGCCATTTCTACAGGAACAGAAATACAGATAAATCCTCATGGATGTACTGAGTCAAAGAAGCGCTGATGCATCCGGAGGCTCTGGCATCTCAGCATTCAGTCATTTCTAGCTAGGGAGATGCATCTCACTACATCTGTGGAGCAGCACAAAGCACAGGACTGTTATATGCTGTCCTTAAGTTGTTTCAAGCACGACCCATTCCTGGTCTACTCCCACATCCCCACATCAACAGCCAGAAGTGTTGGAAGCTCACCTGTAATTCAGCAGCCACACGACAGGGTCTCCAACGCCCAGGCTCTGTCCTCAGGAACGCTGTCAGGAAGTCAAATCCATCACACACACCCCCCCCAAGGCTCCCCATGAGTCATGTGCAGCTCTTCCCCAGCTTGTTCCCTGAGGGCAAACCCACAGACCCCAGGTACCACCACAGTTGGGCAGTGTCTGCTCTGCTGCTCCTGCAGCTCTGGCCGTTACGAGACGAGAAGCAGCAGCGACTCTTCAGGAGGGAATTAAAGGCTGGAATATTGAAAACCTTTGCTAAGCACCATCAGGAAGTATCCTACGGCCAAAGGCTTCCTCTGAGGAAGCTGCCAAGTTGAGTCTGCAACGCTGAATCCTAGTGGAAAGGATGGACTTCTAAGTAACTACATCGCTTATTTTCATGACAGCTGCCTTTTCCCTCTTGGCTCAAGACAACCAGCTCTGGTTGAGTAAGCCTTGATTACATCTAGGCAAAGAAATGTCCTCCAGGTACATCCAGGCCAACGGAGCAAACCCATCTCACCATATGGATCTTGATCCTGAGTCTGTTAACACAATTTCCTCCCATGTAGCCTCTTTTCCCCCACTCCCCTCTTTTCCTTTTACTCTTTCTCAAAAGACCCTTATCAGACCTCAGTCCTACCAAAGCCCACCAAATCCCAGGTGTATAGCTCAAAGCAGAGCTGAAGTTGTGTCAGGGCCATTCACAACAGGCAGTGGAGGACAACAGAACAGCATACACCTGAAGCTGGGAGCTTGGTGCTTCTGTAGTGATCAAAGGTAATCTCTGTCTCATGGTTCCTTCTCCAGGGCCTTCTGGAAGAAACACATCTATGAGACAGACGTGTTTCAGAGAAGGGGAAACATTCCAACATCTCAACTATTCCCAGGCTTCAGGGGTACATTCATGAAACCTTTCTGAATTATTAATTTGGGACACAAGGTGAAACAATTCGGATGGGCCGAGATCCTGTGCTGACAACTGATAGAGAAACAGCTCCGAGAGCTGTAAGGAAAGGAACACAATGAGGGCTTCTTCCCACAGCCTGGCACTGGACAAGCCCAGCAGCTAAAATCTTCCTATTACAAACCCCATCTGCATTACTGACACAGGGCATTTGGCAGGTCTGTGCTCATTCCAGGAACAAGGAATGGAAACCAGTGCCAGGATCAGCCCTGTGGCTGCAGAGACAGGGGCTGCAAAGGGGCTTCAGGAGGTCCCACATGACAACCCAATGTACAAGACAGGGGCTATACATACCACACATGCTCCTTCCTCCAGCACTGGTTGTCCCATGTCACCTTTGGGAATTCTCCATCACCTCCACATGACTGCAGCTCGCTCCAGCCATGCTGTGGGAGCAGCCTGCTCTGCTCCCTTTCCCAACATCAGCTTTCCTAAAATCCAGTGCATTTCTTCTTGTCTTCCCATAGCAGCCACGCTGCTGCTGATTACACAGTCGTTATTAATCTGCTCATAGGAGAAAGTGTCTAAGGTCTATTCCAGCAGTAGGATGAATCCCAAGCTGATGATTAATCATCCTGTCTGCCACTTCCCAAATAAGACAAGTAGCCCTTAAGGAATGTCACAAACACCAAATGTGTTTTCTCTTTTCTGGGCTGACCAGATAATTTAAATCTAATGTCAGGGCAGATCTTTCAAGGACAGAAAACTGCGGATCTAGTCAGCCTAAAGGCAGGGAAAAAAGATCAGAACTTGAGGAGCCAGAAATTCCTCAGGAAGTTGAGTGTCTCTTTGGTTCACAGTGCAGTCATTTAGAGAATCATAGAATGGTTTGGATTGGAAAGTAATTATTATTAGTAAGATCATCCTAAAATCATCTAGTTTCAACCCCCCTGCCATGGGCAGGGACACCTCACATCAGACCATGTGGCCCAAATCAATTACACCCTTCAGTATGCAGTGTAAGAAGCCTGTCTCAGTGGGGGTAGTAGCACAGATGGATGACACACACTAACGCTTTTCATAAATCTGAGAACATTCTTAACCTTGCTCTTTCTCTACATACAAGCAGCCCGGTTTCAAAGCGATTCTGCAGCGCTGGTGCATCTGGTTCCAGGTCCAAGCACCTCCCAGCACATTGTGCCCCCAGGAGGGACAAGCTACAACTACCACTTGTCTTCTGAGGTCACCCAGTAA